TTTTATTTCTACTATTAGGGGTTGAAAAAATTGACAAAGGGTACAAAATATGTTTTGCCGCTATTGGTAGCATCTGAGTCGTGGATGGAGGGGGCAATACCGAAAAGCAAGCCTAAACTAAAGAGATTAGGAAACTAACTAGTGCGAGAAAGTGTGTGCCATTCTGTAACTCCACCAATTTTTTTTATGTCATTGTCACAAAAACAAATGCACCAGAAACCACGTATTGTTTTAATACGGCAATCGATTGCATGAAGATCGATTGGGCGGAGTGCCTGCTCAATGCGGAGCGTCGATGACGTGGTCGCGGCGCGCGTTCGGAGGTCGATGGGGCGGAGGTCGACCGGCGCCGGCGGAGGCGCACGCGAGCGCTGCTCCGCGCCTCAATTAACCCGGCGGCGAAACGCACCGCGCCACAGGCCCCGCAAAGCGAGACGCATTAGAGGTATCAAGGTTTTTTTTTTATTTTCTCGTTACCGCTTACGTAGTAGGGAGAAAGTTATGAAATGCTGCGCGAGAAAATGGCCAACTCTCGACAGGGCCCTGGTAAAGAAAATATGGACAGATGTAGTTGCTAGATTTAGAACAAAAAATACTCTAACACGTAGTATAGCCTAAATCCATGTTTTGTGGGTCCTTGAAACAGAAAAAATGTAATAACGGCAAAACGTCTGTTTATCTGTGAACGACGCTAGCGGCTAAACCGTTCGGTCGATTTTTTGGAAAATTAATATTCTCCCGTCCATCTGGGTGAATTCGATGCCCCTTGAATTTTAAATCGATATTTTAATTGTGGGGTAGTTTATATGAAGCCCCTGGGACATTTTCCAAATGTACAAGAAATTGCTCTATCGTTTTTTATTACATTTTCGTGTTTGATAGTGTAAAGGACGTTTAAGAGAATGGTAGAGGTCTCATTTTCGTTAAAAACGGATTGCAATTTTCTAAATATTTTTTCAAATATTGCAATTTTTTAAATATTTTCGGAGCGTTCCTTCAACTAAGATTTAAACATAGAGGTTTTTTCCGTTAATGAAATCTGTTCTTTAAAAATAGATTTTGAATTAAGGTCACGTACAATTTTTAGAATTTTGAGTATTTTTTGCATAATTTTGCGTGAATGTACGGGGGAGAAAATACGTGCTGTTTTAGCATCAATTTTTTATTTTATTTAAGGTCGCTCTTTAGCTGCTTGGTCATATAGCGACCACTGTGATTTTTAACATTAAGGTAACTGTAAGAGAAACCTTAAGGACAACATGACCGCGCGCGCACGCACACACACACGCACACACACACACACACACACACACACACACACACACACACACCACATCCATGCCCGGGGTGGGATTCGAACGCGCTTTGCGACCGCTTTGCCGACACTTTGCGCCGAGATGACCACGATCCTTTAGCCTTTATGTCATCTCCTGTCCCGTGTCAACGTCATTACGGCGATATAAAGCAAATAACGGACGTGCTTGAAATTTGTAAACCGAAGCAATGCCGAGGAATCAACCACGTGCGTTATTTTGTTATCGGCTGTGATCTGTTCAATATCTTTTGTAATACCACTTTCTTAAAAGACTAGATCATATAAATAAAAAATACCGTAGGCTATCTTTTCCAGCAACTCATTTATTTCATTGGATTGATCTTTATGGGCAGCGGTCGAAAATCCGTAATTGGCGCCTGTCAAGAGACTACGCGTTATTTGCGTTATTACAATATAAAACTTCAGTATTACGGAAAATAAAGTATAAGCACCATAGACAACTGTATAGACAACTGTTTATATTTTTTGTAGTTTTCTTAAAATTAATGACCCTAAATTAATTTGTTATGTGAAAATAAAGCTTATCTCTTTCATAATACATCTCATTCCACAATATAGTCAATTTTCAATATTTTTACATTTTTTAATAAATGTGTCTCCAAATATATATTTTGATCCACTCGTCACTTCACTAGTTACATGTCCCAATTTTGGTAATAGCAAGATATTTTACTCAGTAATCGTCTATAATCTGAACGTGTTTCAGACAATTTAAGTGCTAAGCCAGTCCAGTTAATTTATTATAATTTGCAAGTCCAGTTCTTGTTAATTTATTACAATTCAATGCATTTTCACGTTCAGTCCTTGAAAATTTATTGCATTTCTCATATTAATAACACGTTTATAGCTTCTTTACATACAAAAAAGGGAAAATAATAACTTTAATATACATCTTACCACAGCAAGGCATAATCAACACTTTCTGCAAGATGGCAGCAAGTGGGAAGGCACCGATTCTTATTTTCCAAAGTTTGTGAAGTAGCCACTACTGAGGCATAGGACAATACTGGCCTCATTATCCTAATTTTTTTTTACTTTTCCTCACAGCCCCTAAGGGGCTCAAGAACAGCGAACAAGCGTTTCGTGGTGGGATCCTAAGTTCAATCCCAGATTCAACAGAAGTCGTAGAGATCGAAAAACAAGGCTGAAACTTTCCATTACAACCGTCTCGATTTCTAAAAACCTCATGCAGACCACGCTAGATACAGTGAAGGGAATTCATGTTCACCACATGACTCACTTAAACCAATGCGTCTGTAATTAATATAAAAACGGTCCAGGCTTGCGTACATCGCTATCTCTCAAAAGTCGGGTTAATCCGACCCTAAAAGGTCAAATTCATACCTACACACTTTTCCTCTCCTAACTATAGCAAACCGCCGTATATCACCGCATACGGTAGAATCAACTCAACAATATGGCTTTAAATTTTCTGTCAATGTACTTTTGGAGCTGTAATTTCGCGCACACATCAAGATTGAGGCAGTTCCAAAGATGATTATGACTGGTGTAGTTGGCAATGACGTACATGTAATTTAGGAAAAGTACTGGAGTCACGGGCACAATATGATCTCAACGGTCATAAAATCCGTGTTTAAGCTGTAACTTTAGACACAACAGAATTGAGGTATATTAGTGTTGTTCCAAAACCATTAAGAAACATGCAATTTTGTTCCCGAAAGTTTATTTCTGAATATGGATTGATGTGTTACGCATAACTCTGATACCTTAGAAATTCTTGTACTGAAACTTGGTAAATACGTCAGGAGTAAGATCTACTTGTGCTTTGCAGAGATAATTAAGAAATTTTAAATGTTAGGGGTACTTTATATGAAGCCCTTGTGTCATTGTTCTTGCTAGAGAAGTTAATATGGCAAGTTTTACAAAGTTGTAAAATGAAAAGATTTGTTACCTTTTGGAAACATAATATCTAACAATCGTCTGATACATGTGACCTTTCACAAAAAAGTCACGGGTTATAATTATGAGGTGCACTACGTTATTATGGTAAGATGGAGAGCAGTATATCTTTGACGTATTTTCTCTACAGCATACATGTACAACTCTTGTTAAATATAAAACATTTCCGTTACATTTTCAGAAAGATGTTGAACTCTGGCTTCACAGTGAATAGTGATAACATTGCTCCCGAGTGTGTACACCTCCTTTATTTCATTAGTCTTCTAGAAGTAATACTGAACTACATGAAACAATGTTTTGGGGGGTTTCTATTTTCTTTATAGTGAATATATAGAACTATTCTTACCTATTCTATTACTATTCTATTATAGCCTCATCGCTCACTAATCTATTTTTTCGGCATGCATTTTTCAGCTCTAAATTATGATCTGCAGTTACTTAAACATCGGAGGAGTAGTTGAACAATAACACAAAGAGGAGGAAAAGGCTCTATATGTCACGCATTCTCGCTAATGTATCCCTTTTCAATCTGTAGGCCTTGCAGGGTTTTGAATCATGTACTATAATATTTTACATATACAAACTATGTTTTCTATGTATTTTTGTCAACTAATATTAATTAATTTTAGTGGCGTATTCAGTGTGGGTCATCTAAGAACTAAAATTTATTTCCAGCAGCTTTTTGCTATTACGTTAACGGCCTTACAGAGGATGTGGTAAGTCTTGAATGAAAAATTTTAATTCTAGGAGGGAAGTAAGAAGAGGGACATAAATTATATTTGTGGGTGGCAAGGAAACATGGTAGGTTTCTGTAGAAACGTCCAGAGAGTGTGTCTATCCAATATTGTATTGGGTCTACACGTTTTAACTTGTTCATTGCGGATAAAAAAAAGGTGCATTTACTGTTAAACATAGGAACTTATTTCATATTATATGTGATTAATTTAGATACGTGTTCTCTGTACCACACGTGATGTACATATGTTAGAGGTCTAATTATACAAAATAAATAATAATAATTGCTATTTTTAATAAAAATTAAAAAGGTAATACTGAAAAGTTTATTTGAAAAAACATTTATAATAATTACATTCCATCATTCCTATAAACGACTTTACTATTTGGAAGTAGCGAGTAAAGAAGTTCCAGTTTTTACTTAAATTTGATAAAACGTTTTTGAATGAGTTTGAATGATATTTGAGATACAGATATTCACAAATTCAATTGTGTTAAAAAATAAATAAATAAAATAAAAATTAGTTTTCGAATCGAAAAAGTTTCAATCGAAATTTGCAAAGCAATTGATAGACCTTTATTTCGTTGAAAAGATAAAGAATATCGAAAAATTTAGAGAGTAAAATTAAAAACTTAATGAGATTACTTCAAAAGTTCCTATTAGAGCGCGATGAAAAAATGTAATATCATAATTGGGTGTTTAAATCGTAAATATAGTTGCAGATGACATTCATATCTCCTTGCATCACGAAAATAAAACATTAAAAGAATTCAATGAAATCGGTATTAAATATTTATGTTACGTTTAAGTCTTCCTCGTTTCATATTTAGCATTGACATTCATCGTGGAAATACTTGCTTCAAACAGAGAAAATTTGCTTTGTGCGCACTCAGCATTGTGTAGATCGCCAGTCCTCCACCTCTAATTGTATTTCCACTGCGAACAGCGCCACCTGACTCGCACTATACTGCCGCCATTAGAGAAAATGGAAATGAGTTCGCCACTGCGTCATTTTATGTGTTTCCGAACACAACAAAGGCTTATGTTTTCTTGAAATAGAATACTGAACCGATCATTTATTTTGTCACTAAAAGGGGAAGGAAGTGTCTGTCCTTTCGGAAAAAATCGTAAAATAATATATGAAGTTTTCACTTCCTTAAAAAGTAGAAAAAATTCAAAAGAAGTGGTTGGTATGTTCAGTCTTTAAAGAGATACTGAGATGTAGAAAAGAGCTGCTGATACATAATCTTCTTATTGTTTAATGATATATATATATATATATATATATATATATATATATATATATAATTGTATTATGTGGAAATGACGCCAATTATATACATATATAAACCCTTCCTCGGCTATCTATTCTGATACGTTTAAAACAAAATAATAAATCCTAGTTTCT